AAAATCGTCATTAATGTGATTTGAGCAACCTAAGCACCTAAATAATAGTTCCGCTGAATCCATACAAAGTGATATGCTCTGTTCGATAGCTTCATCTATTTTATCCAATAAAGTAGTCGCTGAACTGTTCGAATTGATTTTGAAATCGTTTAATGTCTGAAAATCTTTGAACTTGTTCATTCACATACGAAATTTCCTAGCAACATATAATTTAAATCAGTTAAATGCATTAAATTGATTTAAAATATGTTCCATTGAGAGAACGATGTTCTCATTATCAGATATAATCCTCTCATATTGCACTGCATTGTATCAGTGTACTATAATTTGAAGTACGAATTGTAAGAAATAACTGTAAAAAGAAAGTAGCCATATCTGATGCATTACCATAATAAAACCATTTAGAATTTTGTATGATTTCAATTTTCTTAGTGAATAGAAGTATTTAAATTCAATACTTCTGGTGCCATCTTTACACATCACCCGGAATGATCACATTCAGATTCCATTCTGTTAGTTTCATCTTTTTCCTTTTTCCATATTCCTCGAAGCATCACAAAATAGATACATCAACGACTTATCAACAAATTACTATTAGGTTATCACTGGTAATTAGCTTTATCCTGAGCACAAGAAATAACATTCACAAACTTACTATGTTAAGTGGAACAATCTCAGTGCCATTCGTAGTCCGATAAACATTAGCACTGAATATTGGCGCAATTATGCATAAAATGATACATAACATTGTCATCATCATCACCATATTCCAAAACAAACTTTAATTAATCTGCAAAGACAAATCTTCCTCAACCTAGAAAACTGATATTAAAAAAATGTTTTGATATGTAAAAAAGTATGATAAAAAGGAATTCTCGTTTTTATGTCAATCTTGAAGATAGTATGCCAACAAATTTGATGCTTGTCTATTTTAACCTAAAATAAAAGTTGCATGTTTGAAAGTAAATGAGCTGACTTTATGAAATGGTAAGTTTAAAGTCTAATCAACATTTAATATTATAGAGATTTCCGTGAATCCATTTCAGGTGGGGAAAATGTTAACTGATAGTGAAATTTGTTTGATCAAACAGATGATATTAGTAAAAATGAACTGTGTGGAACGAGCAAAATGAGACTTTTTAAAGTGTCAGATAGCAAATTAGCATATTGGTTAAACAAGGAATGGTTTAACGATTTTTTTAATCCTTATTCAATGCAATTTATTCATTGTCATCTCGAATGAATGTAGTTTATTCATTGTCACATAGGATTAGTAATAGTTTCAAATATGGTTTTTAAGTATAACTTGATTTTCATGTTTTGCATAGTAATGAGTTAAAAGAATGTGTAAAAGGAATGCTACGTGACCTGGGATTATGTATTGTATTATTGCGTTTGAACAGTGTGCATTAATGGTTTGTGTTTTATTAATTTTTCAATAAATTTAGAAATTTTCAACTTTAATTAGGTGAAAATATGGCATTAAGAAGTAAATATCATTCATTTATTGGTAATGTTCACTTTCTTGTCGGTTAGCATTACTTTGAGAGGAGACAGATTTCTATTGATTTGATCTTTATTTCTTTTCTTCTGTGCAAAAATTAAGAGTGGAAAATGAGACAATGAAAAAATTTGGTAGAATGAGGTTTGAACATAATGTTATGAAACTTGGAGTTTCTAACTCTTGTAGCTTAGAGTCGAATTGAACTTTCGTATGCTCAGCAGTTTTCTTTGTTTATTAACGAATGCGTTGAGTGGAAGAAAAAAATTATAACGATTTTATTTGCTAACAACAATAAAGTATAGGTATTAATTTATAGCAATAGTACACTAATCATTTCGTGGAGTAACTACGAATGAGATGAAGGAAATGAATATTTATTCATTTAGAACTTAAAGAATTTAAGTGAACTGAATTAAATGAGCAAGATAGTAGTAGCCGAACTATATAACTTGCTGGTACAAAAAACTAACCCGAGACAAGGGATTTAAATCCATAGATAGTGGGCATTGATTTGAAATAAACGCATGATTACGTGGAGCAAAGAGCTATCAGATGACCTTTACTCTTTATATAGTAAGGGATGGGTTTTAATATTGTCAGTTTCTCATAACAATAACTATTAGATTACAAAACCATTACAATATTTCAACATTGCAAGCAAATTTGATTCGGAACAGAGAAATAGTTTTTAACATATTAAACAATGCTCATAGCTTTTGTTAACAGTTGAAAGTTTCTAAACATTTAAAAAAACATTTGAAAAACATTTCCCAACTGTTAACAGTTGAAAAATTTCTAAACAAACTAAACAAGCAGATAAGTTTAGCTAAAAGGAAAGATAAATGCTAGAATCGTGATTACTTACATTATATGCAATTTAAAAAAGTTTTATATTTCTTTAAAGAATGTTCAATTAGAACAAATTTTAATATTATGGATTGATGCACTTTTATTTGATATATTTTGTAAGTTATTTGGATGTTCACAAGACTTATTTCGAGTTCCGCGACACATAATAAAGTCGTTAAACGAAAAGTTTTGAAATTATCTAGAAAGGAAGATATAATCAAAGGAAAGAATAGATTTGGGCAGAAGAAAAGTAAAGAAAGGATGAAGAAAAGGTCGTTAAAAAACAGTAAGATGAAGAATAACCGAAATGAATTGAATAAATTTATGAGCATTTTTAATTAACTAAATTAATTACAAAACCAAATATATGTTAGGATAGGTAAAATACATATTGGATAAGTAAAACCAGTGCCGATTAAGTATAAATTAACGAATTTCAAGTCATAGATTAATTTATAATAATAAATCATATATGTAGTGAAATGGTGGAAAATTGTGAAGAAATCAGTTAACAAAACATTAATTTCAAATCTTTGCATTAAATTAAATTATCAATTAACCTTTCGATTTTATCGCTTCTCTCATGCCGTTTCCTTTCAAATTCCTGTCCTTTTTCTTTTTTCTCATCTCGTTCTCCTTCTTTCTCCCTTATCCTTTTGTTTTCTGCTGTTTGGAAATATTATCAGCAATCAGTTCTGAATTAAATGGAAACAAATTATACAATTGACTTTAATTTTGCCTCAAATTATATTTATTTTATTGCCAAAAGACACAATTTTATCTGAATTCAATTCGTCATTCAATTTGATCGATTATTCAGTTTATCATTAGTGGGTTAGAGTTTATCACCAGTGAGTTAGAGGTACCAAAAGTATTGAATTTAAATACTTCTATTCACTAAGAAAATTGAAATCATGCAAAGTTCTAAATGATTTTATTATGGTAGTGCATCAGATATGGCTACTTTCTTTTTACAGTTATTTCTTACAATTAGTACTTCAAATTATAGTACACTGATACAATGCAGTGCAATAAGAGAGGATTATATCTGATAATGAGAACATCGTTCTCTCAATGGAACATATTTTAAATCAATTTAATGCATTTAACTGATTTAAATTATATGTTGCTAGGAAATTTCGTATGTGAATGAACAAGTTCAAAGATTTTCAGACATTAAACGATTTCAGAATCAATTCGAACAGTTCAGCGCCTACTTTATTGGATAAAATAGATGAAGAGCATATCACTTTGTATGGATTCAACGGAACTATTATTTAGGTGCTTAGGTTGCTCAAATCACATTAATGACAATTTTTACTCTTACTGATAGAACTGCAATTTTGTTTTTAACTAATATCATTTTAACATTGATCAAAATGCTTTTCTGCTTTTGTTGTTGAAATGCCTTATCACAATGGTAATATGATTCTGTTTCTATTTTGATTTTGTTAAGTAATATTGTTATAATTTAACGATGCATTCTGGTGAAATTTGCTGGAAAAAAAATACTCAATTAGTTTTGATTAATCTTAACCACACGTACAAAATGATAATCTGACCAATTCGAACTTAAAATTCTAGTCTGAATCCAAGTTCCTCAGTTTGATATGCAGTTTTTTTAAAAACAAAATGAAATATCAGCGGAAATTATTTACTAACCTTCGAGCTATCCTTGTTTTCAATGCGATTACTTCAGCCTTTCCTTCCAATCTTTTTCAAATTCAAATCCAAGTATTCATATTTTCAATTATTCGAAATTCCACGCCATTCAAAATTCGTTCGATTGATGCAGCAATATTAACGTGTTCTCATTTACAGTAATTTCGTATTCACACCTAAATTAAATGAAAACTTACAATGTGATACGTGATATTCCGTTATGTTATTTCGTCAGAGGTTGAAATTTGCTTATTGCATTTGAAGGAATTTCACTTATTCATGTAATTTGCTAAGAAAAAAGCAATCAGTAAAATAATTTTATTTTCTCATTGTGATCCGAACGATATACATAAAAAATGGCGCAATTTTATTTTCTGCTGCACACTAAAATTCAATCATTAAACTACACAGATCAAAAGATAGAAATTGTTGTTGTGATCATTACTAAAAAAAAAAAAAAAAAAAAAATGAATTAAGAAAGAAAAGAAAATCATTTTTAAGGTTCCTTGTGCTAACTCAAAATATTATTAATTTCATTTTCTCATTTCTCACATTTCTTTATTGAAAACAGAAACTTGCCATTTATAAATTTACCATGGTTTATAATTTTCTCATGAAAATCATTGAAATATTCACACAATTTTAGTTTTTAATTTTGTTAAGCTTTCCATGAACTATTTAATGAGACTTTACTGCTAAAAGTTTTTCGCTGCTGGAAAATTCAAAAAAACTTTTCATGCATCATTTTCATTCTCTATTCATCTTTACACAATTGTCTGGAAAGAATAAGTGACATATATCAACATAATTCTAATTAACAGGATTAGCTGTTAATTAAAGGTGAGTTCTTGCTCATTATCAAACTTCAGCCTTGATCTCGACAAATTCTTTAATTTTCTTCTTTTATATATAATATCTTTCATCTCAACTCTAATTATTGAAATTTAGAGTAGTAAGTTGCAAAATTTTTAGGCTAATTGTAAATATGGAATCATGCAAGCAAGCAAGTGAATTAGCTAATAATATCGTATACAATGCTATTCTCATTGCTGTAATTATCACTTCAGCGACAGCAATTATTGTTGAAATTTGGGTAATATTTAAGACAACAAATCGTATTTTACTTCATCAGAATGCTCGAATTTTGATTATCACACATCAGTTATGGCTCATTCTTCACTGTGCTACAAGGTTACATATTTTTGTTCTAATTATTAAAAGAATTTTCATTTTCTGATTACTTTCCTTATTGTAGTACATATGCAAAGAATTTAGGTTTGTCTCTAATACTTTTCTGCAACCTCAAACGAATAGCGGGGCGGTAATGTCGCACTCCTAAATTCAATTCTTTCAAGAATTGTGCACAAAGAAGTGATTAAAATGTAAATAAAAAAGTATACAGTAACAAAATACTGGTGGAAAAGAGAAAAAAGCAATCAATTGAATATTATATCAATGTCGTGAAACCTCAAACTTGGGTAATTAAACCTTTATTTAACATGAAGCAAATAATAGCGCTTTATACATATCGTACGGATGCTACACCGATTAACAAACGCGTAAACTATAAAAAATGCAATGATATAAAAATGGTGAAATAACACAAAATTATAAAGTATTAGACGCATCCCAATACCACCCAAAACATAAAGCAAATGATGGTTATAGAAGGATTGGTTGGTTTATATATAAGACTGATTTAACAAATGGAGATTAGATGGGAGGATTTCTCATGGATGAACAAAGAAGATTGTTAACAAGATTAGTTTATATACAGAACTGAACTGACCAGATATTCCGCAGAGGAGGACATGGTGATGATATGAAACAAAGACTGCTAATAAAGGGTTTTGCTAACAAAGGGTTTGCTAACAAAGGGTTTTTGTTGTGTGAGGAAAAGGAATCAGATAAGAGTAATTTGTTAGTTTTGGATATAATAATTTAAATCTTTCGTCTTTCACGACAATCAAACTAAAGCCGTAAGTAAGCAACGGAATGTACAAAGAAATGGATTAGTTGATCGATTGCTGATCAACCGATCACATCTCGGATGATAAGTGAATGCTGTACAATCATTTCAAACAATTCAAGTTATGAGCAAAAATTTCACTCACTTTGAAAAATTTTTTCTAGTTATTACAGAATATTTGCCCATACCTATGTATTACTGGCATACCGTAGGGCACGTGTCGATAACCCGTGTGGGTATATGTTGTTTGTTTGGGAATGTTTCATGATGCGAGCACCGATCATTTTATCATCTTCCCTAAATTTCGCTTCTATACCTTCAATAGTAGCTGAAAGAATTATTGCTACATTTTTCTCATCCAAATATGAGAAATTTGGAAAAAATATGGCTGTCATCTTTATTATAATAGAGGTATGAACAATTTTATTTTGTCTTTAATACTTTAAATAAATTTAATAATTTCAAGCTTGTGTTTGAATTAAAAAATTGAAAATACTGCACAATTTAAATTTTAATTCCGCATATGTTAATAAAATATATGAATTCTTCCTAATAATATTCATGGATAATACAATTAAAGTTGCATAAAACTTGGAAATGAAGTTTGTAATTCTAATGATATTTGTGAATATTTTGTAAATATAACTTTTCAGGTAATTTTTGGAATTGGAGCCTTTGCGTTTATATTTGGTGATTTTACATTACCCTATTCAAAAAGGGTACACCATTGTCCTAAAGCATGGCCTGATAGAGCTACAAGAATTTCTATGGTCCTCGGTCTTCATGCTCTAATCGATTTCATTTCTATTTTAATTATTCCGGTTTTACTTTACGTTAATAAGGCAATTCTGATTTATTTCACTTTTTCATTTACAAATACAGATTAAATACCAAATGGATTGATTCAATCTAAATGTTCTGGAAGAAATTAACTCTACGTAAGCGTTTTTTGCATGTTCCGGTTGATCTACTTCCTGAGTGTTCTGCCAAGTACTTCTGATTTAGTCATAGCAGATCAGAAGTACTTTGCGGATTTTTCCATCGTATTATCGGAACAAATTGTTGATGTGACTCAATTCCTTACCGTTTCGATTGCATATTCTATCTTAGAAGAACGAAATGGAAGGATTCCAGCATTAGTGATACAAGAATTTAACATTTATAAAGTTAAAATTTAAAAAAAAAAACTCATAAACAAAAGTTTCTTTTTTTTCTTCATTGCATTTTACTTTTAATTTTCATCCAACGTATAATTTGTTCAGAGATTTCACCGTAATAAAATTCACGTGAACTTATCGGATCGTTATCAAATCACAGAAAATATAAATTCTCTTCGTACATTATTACGCATGTTCACATTTCATTCTCTATTTCGAGGTCTTCACCTGGTCGCAGTGTCTATGTTTTTTGCTTTTCGTTTGAAATCTTCTGTCGGAAATGCTATTTATCTGGAAGGTTCGTTTCCTTTTTCAAATTAAAATAGTAACTCGAATTTTCTCTGATTCAAACAAAATATATGAATAGATAATTGCAGATAAACGAATTCAGCTAATAATAGTGAAATGAAAATTTATTCCAATCTAATTTATCTCAAGCAATACGGCGACAATAAAAAATTGCTTGAAATATGTGAAATATAATCAATATAGAAACCAAAATCAAAATAAGCATAACATTGAAATCATTTCAAAAATTTTTAAAAAAAATAAATAGAAACAATAAACATAAGATTAGACAGTTTTGATTCATAGAGTTATTTACAAATTATGGAAGGAATATTAAAAAAACTTAAGTGTTACGAAGGAATTCAGAAATGATTTGAATAGTTTTAACTTACTGAACTTTTAAATTTATAAGCTTTGTCTTACTGCTAACTGTAATGTTATTGTTGGCACTTTGAACTATGATGTCTTATCGATTTTGTAAAATTTATCGTTGTAATATAAATTGTGCAACTTATCAAAAAAAAAATAATACTATAAAATTATCCACTAACACTAATGTTTTAAAAATGTGACTTCAAAAGTGCTTACGTAGGTGGTGGAGAAAATTTTCTTAAAATTCAGGAGCACAGCTAACACCGCTATACGCATTAACCTTACCAATTGCTATAGTATGGACAGAAAAACATGTCAGGAAAACTGCCCAGGAAAATTGCCGGAAAGCTATAGAATTAAAGGGCAGTGAAGCAGCTAATCACTACTTTGTATGTATTTTAATGCTTTTTTGTCTTTTAATTCTTAGAAAGAATTGTTAAATATACGAATTATTAAAAGAAGGTAATTAATATATTAGCTTGTTTACAAACAAACGTTGCTCAAATATATTAGCAATGAATTTCGAAAATTTGATTTGCATTTTTTCAGACAATTTTCGAAAGACCTGCAGGAAAGAATGCTTAAAGATTGAAAAGAATATCTTAACAATGTGTCAGCAATGAAAGCATAAAGACGATGAAAATTATAAGTTGAATAGATTTGAGAAAAACACAAAAAAAAAAACAAATTTTAAAAGAAATTAAAAATCTCATCTCTCATCAAATCTAATTGGTAATATATATTTTCTTTAATTTAATACCATTCTCATTAAAACTATTTTTGGTGTAAAATTCTTTATATTCGTAATATTTATATTCTTAATATTAAAAATTCTTAATATAAAAAGAAAAAGAAAAATGGTTGTTGTGGAAATATTGTTACTATTACCCACTTTTTTTTTCAATCAAAAAATTTATCGTAATTTTAAGTTCAATCCTTGTAAAACATTTCTTTATTTGAATAAATTCATTTGCCCATCGAACAATTTAACTTTACTCCAATAGTTCTCAAAATTGCAACAAAATTGTTCAAAAAAATCGATTGCATAATAAAATAGTGATTTTACTACAAAAGTTATCGTCAAATTGTCATAAGAATAAAAGTATAAATGAGTTACGTTCTGGCATATTTATTTGGTTATAGGTGACAAACTCACCCTTATTTGCATATTAATTTAAAAATAAATTACAAAGAAATAAGATGACAAATATCAGTTTACAGTCATTTTATCAATAAAATGATAAACAATGATAAGTTTATTTTTGCTGCTTAAGCAAATGAATTTATATTCATCGAAAAAAAAAAAATTTACAAGCGCTTAATAGCATTTTATACTGACGAATTCAACAATGTTTTTTGTGATATTTTCATTCACCGTATTAATTATTACTTTCCAGAAGTGAACTTTAAATATTTTATGGCACACAGCAACTCATTTATCAATTTTAAAATTAAAATCCTTAGATATAAGGGAAGGAAAAAGTGAAACCAATCAATGCAGTCGTCATATTCCGCCCTGCGCATTTTGCTGATCTCTGCTATCAGAGACTGTCTTTGATCACTAAAAACTCTAATAGACTATTTCATTTGCGCATATGCGCAGTTATTAAGAAAGGAAGAGTATGTGATTGATTGCCTTTTGACTATCTCAAATTTTATTTTAAGCCATTTAAAAGATGATTGTATGCTTATCCTATGGCTTAATTATTTAATGAGTTTGTAATTATCACATTTTATCTGTGTTAATTAATTCCACTTATTTCACGTCTCTCTGTAATCAGTAATTTGTAGTCTATTGTGAGTGTAAAATCAAAACGTTGTAAAATATGCGTAATTTAAAATCACAAATCTAATTGAACTAAAATTCATCCTAGAAAGATCTATTGATGATAAGTAGAAATTACCACAGAACTATTTAGGGAATGTCATGTCGATTGGCATTGTCTCATTTCTCTCTTCATATTTCACTTTTGTTTACTAAAACTCATCTCACTTGATTAGAATTAGAATTATGAAAATTAAAATAATTTGTGCAGTTTAATTTAATGAATCTTCTCGTAAAATTTGAAGTTCAATTTGAAGTTAAAATTCATTTCAATTAAACACTAGAAAATTATACATCATTTAAGCAAGAAAATTATTTCACATTTTTGTTTACTAAAAGTAGAGAGAAATTAAACAGTGTTTAAGGTAAATTCTATATTCTACGTATATTTTCATGCTCTTCTCTTAATTCAAACAGCAAAATCCTCTGTCGATAGTTCAGTTTCTCTCTCAAACTTCATATTCAGAAAATCTCAATAAATTAATTACTTTATTACAAATGTCATTCATATATTACTTTTTGTGTATTAAAAAAGTAATATATGAAAGTTGATAATATCAACTGATGTAAAACTACAATTTTATCCAGTTTGTTTTCATTTTTTATTCTCTTTTGCTTTAAATTATTAAAGCAATTAAAATGACATATTTGTAGTGGAAAATGCTTTAACAATATTTTCGAATTAAATGTATTGAAGAATGAGAAGTAACAAAATTAGAAAATGCATTACTGTTTTTTTTTTTCTTTTGCTTTTTTTTTTATTTATTGCTAGTCTACTAATTGCAAAAATTAAAAGCATTTTTAACGCAAGTATTAATGAGCAAAATTTCATATCTGAAAAATAATAAACTGTGAATAATTAAATAATATCACTTATCATTTGATCAGCTTGTCACTTATCATTTGATCAGCATTCCAAAATTATAACTTCATAAGATTTATTGTTAGTAAAACTTTTCATAAGATTTATTGTTAGTAGCAAAATAATATCACTTATCATTTGATCAGCACTTCAAAATGATAATTTCATAAGATTTATTGTTAGTAGCAAAATAATATCACTTATCATTTGATCAGCATTTCAAAATGATAACTTCATAAGATTTATTGTTAGTAAAACTTTTCATAAGATTTATTGTTAGTAGCAAAATAATGTCACTTATCATTTGATCAGCTTGTCACTTATCATTTGATCAGCATTTCAAAATGATAATTTCATAAGATTTATTGTTAGTAGCAAAATAATATCACTTATCATTTGATCAGCTTATCACTTATCATTTGATCAGCATTTCAAAATGATAACTTCATAAGATTTATTGTTAGTAAAACTTTTCATAAGATTTATTGTTAGTAGCAAAATAATATCACTTATCATTTGATCAGCTTGTCACTTATCATTTGATCAGCATTTCAAAATGATAATTTCACCAGATTTATTGTTAGTAGCAAAATAATATCACTTATCATTTGATCAGCTTGTCACTTATCATTTGATCAGCATTCCAAAATTATAGCTTCATAAGATTTATTGTTAGTAGCAAAATAATATCACTTATCATTTGATCAGCTTGTCACTTATCATTTGATCAGCATTCCAAAATGATAACTTCATAAGATTTATTGTTAGTAGCAAAATAATATCACTTATCATTTGATCAGCATTTCAAAATGATAATTTCATAAGATTTATTGTTAGTAGCAAAATAATATCACTTATCATTTGATCAGCTTATCACTTACCATTTGATCAGCATTCCAAAGTGATAACTTCATAAGATTTATTGTTAGTAGCAAAATAATATCACTTATCATTTGATCAGCTTATCACTTATCATTTGATCAGCATTCCAAAGTGATAACTTCATAAGATTTATTGTTAGTAGCAAAATAATATCACTTATCATCTGATCAGCATTTCAAAATGATAATTTCATAAGATTTATTGTTAGTAGCAAAATAATATCACTTATCATTTGATCAGCTTGTCACTTATCATTTGATCAGCATTCCAAAATGATAACTTCATAAGATTTAGTAGTTTAATATCACTTATCATTTGATCAGCATTTCAAAATGATAATTTCATAAGATTTATTGTTAGTAGCAAAATAATATCACTTATCATTTGATCAGCTTATCATTGATCAGCATTCCAATGTTAAAGATTTATTGTTAGTAGCAAAATAATATCATTATCACTTATCACTTATTTGATCAGCATTCCAAATGATAACTTAAATTTATTGTTAGTAGCAAAATAATATCACTTATCATCTGATCAGCATTTCAAAATGATAATTTCATAAGATTTATTGTTAGTAGCAAAATAATATCACTTATCATTTAATCAGCTTATCACTTATCATTTGATCAGCATTCCAAAATGATAACTTCATAAGATTTATTGTTAGTAGCAAAATAATATCACTTATCACTTGATCAGCACTTCAAATTCCTTAAGATTATTGTTAGCAAAAAACAATAAATTAGTAAAACTATGTTACCAGCATGGTGAAAGATCATGTTTGATGATGAGAAAAAGATCAAATATGTCCGAAAAAAAAAATTTTGTGATATTAATGCATTTTAATTTTATGAGTTTATTACCACTCCAAAAATACGTACTTTTTTAATTCCATTGCTTAAATAAGAAAAAAAAGTGATCAACTTGGAAAATTTAAACAATTTTCAACACATCAAATTTTACACTAATTTATTTTCTTACTAAAGCCAATTTTGAGATAACACACTATTCAAGATATTGTTGCTAAGATGCTATGATGCATATTTCAAGAAATCTAAAAAAAAATTTCATACATGAAATCTCACATCCTGCTCAGTCAACTTTATAAGAAATTTTTTTTTTAATTGATACAACTGGAAAATTTGATCATACTTGTTATCTATGCAAAATTTCAGGATCTGAAGATTTGGTAAGTGAAAAAATAAAGGAAATATTTCATAAATAAATTAGTTTTTCGAAAATATGACCATTTGTGTATCATCATCATAAAATCAAATTTCTATAAAAAATAGTGATTACTTCAGGAAATCTTTTTTTTTCATTCAATTTCATTTGGATGTATTATTATAACGATGTAGCAGTAAAATCACAATTTTTTCTGACAAAAAATTATATAATATTAAACAGATTCGATATGAAAATGAAACAAACTATGAAGCAAAGGAAAAAAAAAAACCAAAAGAAAATGAAAGTGCAATAAAGATAGCTAAGAATAAAACATGGAATTGTTGAATCAAAATATTATGCTAAAGTGAATAACACAAATATATCATTTTGAATAAATAACAGAGAAACTGCTTCATGCACTTAAATGAAGTGATGTGCGACACGTAAAGTGACGTAAAATATAATCTAATTCAAAACATCCTTGTTTCCTAAAAAGACAAAGGAAGATCTGATTCTGATCAAAAGGAAGACAGAATGATAAATTAAGTATCAAGTAACATTCTCATTAATATTTTCACGATGAAACTATCTAGCAATTAGGTATACCGCATTTTTAGCATAAGAAGGCTATATTAGCAAAAATTATCAGAAAATAAACTGTAAAATAAATTCGACCATTTTTAATTTTCAGAAATCTTGAATTAGTATCTGTGTGCATATAAAATAGTATCTGTATGCCTACGAATGCTTATAAATACAAACAAAATGGTACTGCCAGTATATGAAAAAATAGGAAGAGATATGTCCAACGAGTACTACATTCGAAATAAATTCATATAAACATAG